TTTTTACTGTACGGAAAATGCTATAATATAAAATATAGGGCCTAATTCATGTAACCATAATATTACTATACATACATGACTATTATAACAACATGTGTTGCCAGGTTTATTTCAAGTATGTTAACTTTACTGCATTGCATGTAAAGCAAACAACTTAATTTAACTTTCTGAAAAAAAAAAACCAAATTCAAACACCACTTTGACAAAAGCAATCCATGATAAATTCGCTTTCAACGACGAGTTATGGTTTTCAACTTAGGAAGACTCAATTGAATTGTAGAATTCACCATGAAAAGTTAATTATGCCATATACAATTGGATGTTAAAGATCCACTGTTTCTTGGACAAGCATTTGGAGGTTGTCTATTGCGATTCCTCTTCGGCAGCTTAAAGAATATCTTCATCTGACTCGTCAACAGTTTTGTAGCCTACGGTGTACTATTGTGTCTTTCTCTATTATAGCTTTACATCTTTTGCTCAGATATTCTGATGGTTGAGATAACTCACTGTCGTTCCTAACTATTCTTATGTTTTTCTCAACCCCTGTCACTGACTATTTGGAATTTCTTTTGAATATATTCTTTTTATTGTTTCTGAAAATCTTTTCTTGTTTTCTTTGAATGTGAAGGTGCGTATTTAATAAGTGTTGAATATCTTTTTTAGTAAACTTCTATCAGATTACTCTTCATATTCTTCATATCCACACCTATTTGATTAATATGGTAATACATGGTACAACACAAGATTTAAATATTTCACTCCATGCACTTTTTGTCCAGTTCAGTCTTATGATCACATTCTTAAATATCTATTTCGCTTAGGAATAAAACAATATCAGCCTTCTTACCGCCTCCTTGTAGAACTGAACGTTTCAAACCTTCTTCCGTATTCTCTAAATGTCTTCTGCCAACAATTCCTCCATTTATACTACACTGCTACATTGATCTATTGTTTAATTTTGATTAAAAATGTTTTTTGGCCAATGCAAATATATATTGATAAATATAAATGTAATGTTTCTTGTATGGCAGGTAATAGTCGACTGATGGCTTTTGAAGCAAATGAAAATTTAATTGAAAGATTAGACATTAGAAGATAAAAATGCTACCATGGGAATATGCAAGTGTCGGTTGAAAGCCTTTTAGCATAACCTAATTCTGCTTTGTCCAACAGTGTTTGATTCTCAGATCTGCATTCAAGTGTTCCTGTAACTATCTGATTTTCTAGTGTACAGAAGCTTATGTAAGACTTTATAAATCCATCTTTGGGACAGAAAAACAAGTGATTATTAAACGTATCCTTCATTTCTAATTGCACAGACTGGTAGATGTTGGCGAACAGGTTGATCAGACACCTTCGCAGTGATCATTTCCATGCACACCAAACGACACTATGGCATCTTTGAAATTTGTTTTCACTTTCTGAACCAGGTCAAATGTCATATGCCCTCCATACGCAAATTGCTGTCAGGGGCGGATTTGAGTATGGAGGTAAACAAAGAAAAAAAAAGAAAAAAATAAAGAAAAAGAAAAAGAAAATATCCCAGACACCTCAAATGGTATTTTTGGGCGTCTAGAACACAAACATTTCGCGGGGGAATGCCCCCGGACCCCCTAGTACAATGTTGTCTCGATCAGCCCAACTTCCCCCCCCCCCTTTTGGACAATTCTGGATCCGCCCCTGCCTGTAGTTGTAAATTCAAAATTATTAAGAAGGCTTATACCATCCCACTTGCAGTTCTTAATATGTTGCAACATTTGAGAAGGTAGAAACAACCTTTTTCTGTCTATCCAATTCTAAAGCATGTTTCATTTTATAACCATTGGATTTAGGAGAGGGGGACAGCCAGGCCCCACCCCCCCCCTATTTTGGAGGGAGGTAAAAGAAAGAAATAAAAAAGAAAAAAATGATAGCCCGGACACCTAAAATGGTATTTTTAGGCGTCTAGAACACAAACATTTTGTGGGGGGCATAGCCCTGGACCCCCTAGGACAGTATTGTCTCGATCAGCCCAACTTTCGGCCCTCCCACTTTTGGACATCTATGGATCCGCCCCTGCCTGTAGTTGTAAATTCAAAATTATTAAGAAGGCTTATACCATCCCACTTACAGTTCTTCATATGTTGCAACATTTGAGAAGGTAGGAACAACCTTTTACTGTCTATCTGATTCTAAAGCATGTTTCATTTTAAAACCGTCTTCAATGACTTGAACTTCGTTTGCATAAATTTGCACATTTGCCCTTGTCTTTTCAGCAGTTTCTTTTGTTGCAAGCAGTGTAGTTGTACAGTGGTAGCAGCCAGCATTGTTGTGTCTTAAATATAGATGTACGCTTAGGACGCACACTCTTTAGCCATGAAACTACATCTTTCATTATCGCTGTTCTGGGCTTGTGTTTGGAACACCGCAATGCAATAAAAATGTGCCAAGATATTCATTTTCCAAACAATCTTCTCGAGATTCTCTGAATGCTGTAATCGGACCACCATCTGGGATATAGGGCTTCTTGTCGGGCTAATTCTGGCACCACCCCTACCACGACCACATATTTTTTTCACGATAATTCCTAACTTGTCCCGACAAGAAGGGGTAGGGGTGTTGCATGATGTGGTTAGGGAGAGAGGGTGTTATTCAGGGACTGGCATTCCCAGGCAGGTTAAGGTGCTGTGTCCAACTGGTGACACCACTGACAGAAATTGGTATGTATAAAGTGAAATTATTATAAACTCACCTAAAAAGGGTTTAAAATACCGCTAAAACAGAAAAATGACAACATTGATACCACAAACATTGTTTTTTTTAATCGCAACATTAATTAAAGTATAGAAAAACATTTATTATTGTTGTAATCAAAGGAATCTATGAATAAATCAGCGGAAAAAACTGGTAAATTTTACTACTATAATTTTTTTAAATAAAAAATGCCAGTTTTTCTGGCAACACTGCTCGTACGTTTTTTAATTACCCATATTTTTTAAACTGGTATTCTCTAAGGAAGCATTAGAACTACCTATTTGTATAAAATCAGTTCTAAAAAAGCACCACTTTGAGGTTTACGAGCACTTAAAGTTTGGACGTTTTTTTATAATTTGAAAAAAAAAACCACCTTTTTAAAACATGGTATCTCCCAACTACGTAATACAAAAAAACATTTTAAAATATGCAACAGATACCCAATGTATTGACCTTATACATGCACTCATTATTTTTGATGAATAAACCATAAGAATATCAGAAATATTGTATCAAATTATTACTAATATTAACATTTAAAAACAGCCAAAAATGACAAAAATTGCCAAAAATTGAAGTAAAAATATGTATCAACAGCTATTTTAATAGTATGTTTCAAGCCTTAGGCTATTTTATTATGCACCTTTTAAATGTGTAGTTTTTATAGATAATATTAATTAAAATATTAAATTATTGTGTCTATAATTGACGTTCGGCTAGTTGGATTTAGGCCAACAGGGATTCGGCAAAATATGTTTTACAACTTTTGAGTTGGCAATTTGGTATTCGGTAATTTGAGTTTCTGTTAAATTGAGTCAGAAATCTCACCAGATCCTCAAATGTATAATCTGAAGTCGATGAACAAAAACACTAATTTCCAAACGTATAGCGTTTTATGAAATTATCTCTATACCAACATAGGCCTATTATAGATAGGCCTATTGTATGTCAGTTGTGCAATTTGGTGAAATTATTAAAGTTTACCACAGTGAAAAAAACAAAACATAATATCTTCCAAACAATGTAATACCACAATGACCAATAGCAAGAAACTTAAATAGCAGAAGAATGAGCTGCTCCGAGTATTTGCATTAAAATCGATGGAACATTCGCCCTCCTGCGGTTGCAGTAAAATTTGTACATTTTACTAAGTGGAGAAACTAAAGGAAACAAGCGAACAAGAGCAGCGCCTTTATTATTTTTATATAGCGCCGCCGCGCGGTTGCAGTAAAATTGCTTTCCGTGTACCCACAATGCCTTTTAAACGGATGTTCCACTATACTGGGAAGCTGCTCTATCTTAATCTATTTATTATCTTTGAATTGCAAAATAGCACTATTTCTAGGAACAACTGGGAAACATTCTTTCATTCATTTATCTATTTATTCGACCAATACACATTTACAAAAGGTACAGTACAACAAAAAATTTGGTCAGGGGCAGCTTAAGCAAAATTTTATTATAACTCATTGAGAGTCTACTGCCCCATTAATAAATATAAACATAAAAAAAAACCCATTTAAATACAATACAATAAATAGCATAAATAGGCCTATCATAATTCAGAAACTCAAACTTGCTCTTAGTATGTAATAACTGATATATAATTTTATGTAAAGAGAAAATTACCGAAAATATTTCAAAGATCAGTTATTAATGGAAAAAAAATCAAAAAAAAAAAAAAAAAAAAAAAAAAAAAAAAAAAAAAAAAAAAAAAAAAAAAAAAAAAAAAAAAAAAAAAAAAAAAAAAAAAAAAAAAAAAAACAGAACAAAAAAAACAAACAAAAAACAAAATAAAACAAAACAAAAAACAGGTAGTTTATATAAACTTAACGGTATACTAAATTTCCTTATAACCTTTTTCATTAGAGAAAATATAATCAAATACCTCCTAGCTACTTTCATACCAAGTTTAGTTGTCAAAATGTCAGACAAAGTGACCTTGGAAATACAACAATTATAAAAATTATTTGTTTTGTCCGAAAAATACAATTTTCCGGAATGGAACAATCCATCTTCTTTCAACCAATGAAAACATTGTACATTAGGTTTAGGCATGTAATGGGACAAAACGAATAGTTCATAAAAGGCACGAATGAACTAAATTTTTATGATGAGTGACAAAATAACCATGTCACATGAAACGCAATCAACCAATCCTATGACACGGATCTATTTAGGTGTGTTATAATATACAAATAATGAATGTTTATGAGTGTTATGGGAAGATTATTCAGATTCAAAGGGTATATATTAAGGTAGGACGCCGAGAGTTGGTATCAGTCCGTTTTACTTCTTAACGAAGAACATCGTTCCGACAAGAAGAAAGAACCACATAAAGGTAAAACATTTACTAATTTAATTTCATAGGTTAGATGCTCCAAAACCCATTTCTAATTATGTCAAGGCAGAATTAATTTGTTTTTCTTCGCAGTTTTACAGACATGTTTTACATACATTGTATACAACTGTATTTTTTTAAAAGTAATCTTGAATTGTTGTATACTGTACTTAATTTTATGTTTAATTAAATTGATTCTCGTCTTAAAAACTTAAAAAAGCGTCTCTGCGAAGTTGGAACCATTTCGCTATATCTGCGGTGGTGGTATTTACTACAGGCCCCTAACCCTCATTAGAAGTTTTTGGAGCAGCATCGATCCATTCGGCAACAATTTGCAAATAACGTGCTATTGTGAAATATTTATAAATAAAAAAAAATAAGCCTACACAATTCACACTTTAACAGCTATCAAATTATTATAGGTCTATTCTACTTTACGGTACGGTAGCCTTTTGGACACAGGCATAAGTAGTTTCATATTCAACATTTGATGCTTTCATGTCACTAAGTAGACGCTTTTATAATCAGTGGTGTATCTAGCTAGGAGTATTGAAATTGGTGGAGGTGGGAGACGTGAAGTGGGTGGACTCGGTGATTAAGTGAGGGGTACTACTGTTAAAATAAGCTTTTGCTTTAAAAATTTCCAGTGAGGGCGAAAACTGAAACTCTGTAGATATCAGTGGCTCTACGGCAACCTCCTAGATACGTCGCTACTGTTTATAATAACCCCCGTGGATTCTCCTCATCATTTCGCGTAAATGGATTCTCCTAATCATTTCAGCTTTTGTGGTGTGAGAGAGAGAGAGAGAGCTTCTCCCTTGACGCACTAACACTCACCTATTAATAATCTCATGGTTGAATGTGTTCAGAAATAGCAAAGTGGCCTTATTTGCTCTAAATTTCTAAAGCTAGCACCATTCAATTATTTATGCAATATTTGAAAAAAGAAAAGACCATAATGCCCAAATCGAACAAACAAAAGCACGAATATACATTTTTGCGTTCCTATAAAAAGTTTAATGAAAATTCCTTCATAGATTATCTTAAATGCATAGATTGGTTTTATATTAAATAGTGACGTCAATATTGCTTTCCAACAATTTCAAGATACTCTAATTAAAATAATCGATAAACACGCTCCAATAAAGAAACGAAAATCCGTAAAAGCGCTGCATCATGGCTCACAGACGATGCAATTAATTTGATGCGTAAAAGAGCGAATGTTAAGAGAAAAAAGCAATTTGGCAAAACATACAACATAAATCATTCTGCAATTCATATAAAAATGTAGAAGTGATTGTAATACAAAACATACGTAAAAATAAGGTTGACCGTGAATGTAACGCCACTATTCAAAAGTGGACATATGGCTAATCCAGGAAATTATAGATCAATTTCAGCATTACCCGTTATCTCCAAAATTATGGGGAAAGTGGTTTTCGATCAACTATACTCATATTTAGTTTCTCATAACCTATTGTTTGAACATCAGTGGGGTTTCCGGCCATGCATTTCCACATTTTATGGCCCTAATAAACATAACAAAAAAAATGGTATAGTGCCGTGGATAGGCCTAATGGGAAATGGTTGGTCTATTACTATTTTATTTCAAAAAGGCGTTTCATACTGTTGATCACAAAATATTACTATGTAAGCCTAAACTTTATGGCTTTAGTGACTGTTCAATAAATGGTTTGAATATTAAATCTGATACTAATTCATTATAATATGTGGAGTGCCATAAAGATCAATTATTGGTCCGTTAGCTTTTTAAATTTATATATAAATGACCTACCAAATGCCTTACATAAATGTGAGGTAAGCATAAATAACGAAGAATATGACATTATTGAAACTTTAAATCAAGACCTAGAAAATGCTTGAATGGCTCAAAAGCAATAAACTGAGTTTAAATTTTACAAAGTCACAATTTATGCTAATTAGTTCAAGCCAAAGGTCAAAGGCTAAAATGGAACATCAACCATTCAGATAGGTAACTCCCCTGTAACTCGTGTGAAAAGCTGTAAACACTTGGGAATAACCATTGACGAACACCTGTCATGGAGTAAACACATTGAAAACACACGAATAAAGGCTCTAAACGGTTTATTATAATGTTAAGGAGATGTGAATATATAATGCCAAATGATATCCTAAAAACTATTGCTAATTCCATTAGATCATCTTACTTAATCTACTGTTATGTTATTTGGGAAAGCTGCAGTTCTTCGGATTTGACTGCGAGATTGATGTGTAACCTAAATTGGGACACACCAAGCATCTTCATTCATTTCATTTTATTTATTTTATTGGCACAAACGGCCCAGGAGCTGCATCAGCAACAGGCCGCCTTAAACCAAAATGGGGTGCCCACAGCTGCTTGAACATAAAACAAGGTATAAACAAATTTACAATATTATAATCTGTACAAGCAATTATTCAAATTTATGGAAACATCAACATTTGCAAAAAAAAAAAAACATTGAGAATGTATACATTACTGTGAAAATTATAAGTAATATATAAGAAAGTACGAAACAGCAATTTGGTTCTCTTTTTTTTCTCAACGCGACGAATATGTATGTTTAATAATATTATACAGGTGTCCACCTATTTACAAAATAATTCAAAACAAATACTTTTAATTGCAATTTCCGGCATAGTGCGACCAAGTCATTTATTCCTAAACCAAACACAAGTTTTAAAAAACTTATCCTTTCATATCGAGGTGCAACCTATTGGAATGCACACACTTTGACAAGAATGATTTTGTTTTAAATACAAAGGATAAAAATGAAAAATAAATACGTCTCCTTCAGTGATAATTTTAGGAATAATATTGATTTTTAACCTAATGTAGTGATTTTTTAATTTTTTGCGAATTTCTTCAACTTTATGTATTGATTATTTAAGGGTTTTGTGATCTTATATCTCGATCTTATGGAAGAACAATTGCCTTAATTGAACAAGTTTATTATACATGCTCTGTGCTTGTATTTTCGAGTTTGAAATAAAGTTTATATACATATAGAATATGTTTATGTAGAAACGGTTTGCTACAGCGGGAAAGGTATGGTTTCCCCAACCTCGAGGGCGGGGTTTCAATCCCTCGTTGTGTCCTTGAGTGAGGCATTTTATCTGCATTGCTTATCTCCACCATGGAGGTATAAAATATTTTTATACCTCCATGTCTCCACCAAGAGTAATGGGTAATTGGTGGGATTGCCTGCTCCAGCGCTGATTACCAGCAGCAACCCTTAAGGCATGTGGACCCATTGACCAGGAAAAAGAAATGCGTTTTATAACCACAAGAAAAAAAAAAGACGCATACCGGTATGCTCTGTTTTAGCAAACCAACCAATGGCATAAAGAGTCGTGGGGCCCGAGGAGAACACTTTTTGGGGCTCATGAATTGCAGTAAAGTATTTGCTAACCTAAAGCATTATAAATAAGGTTGAAAATTGCATTGAAGGCGGTGCCATTATCGTTAAAGAATAATATAAATATATTGTGTGACTTTAAACCATAGAATTAAATTCTATTTTCACAGCCTCCGGGGCCCATTTGGGCTGGTGGTTCTGATCTCCACCCCCTCTCACCTCCGAGAGCCCATAGGTGTTACGCCACTGAAATCAACGTTTGTAGTTCATAGTGTCTTTTAACGTATCTAATCTCCGACTTGATCTATCTACCGTGTTCATTATATTTTTGTTTTCCTCTTCTTTTTTGTTAACATTTTTTGCTACAATTTAATTGTTTTATTTATGTCTAGAAATGGCTTTGTTTATTGGTGCTCTGCTTGCCGTGGTTATAGTGGTAGTAGCAGGTGATTGTAAACCAAAATATGATCTGACACAGTCAGCATTTACGGCCAAGATGACAAGGAGCATCAACGCATCGCCAACCAAAAATACACGTATCGTCTTCGATTCACTCTTGACAAACATCGGCAATGACTACAATGCTGAAAACGGCAAATTTACTACTAGAATCGCAGGAACGTATGTTTTCACCCTAACTCTAATGAGTAAGTACTCATCTAGAAGCACGGCGTTTGGTTGTTTGCATAAGAATGGTAAAGAACAGTTCTGCGTCTGGTCCAATGGAAACAACGCCCACGAGACGTCAAGCAATACGATCACAATCAATCTTAAAAAGGGTGATGTCGTTGACAATGTCCTAAAGGCTGGCAAAAATTATGCACTTCACAACTACGGTCAAGCTGGATACTGTTCATTTACTGGCTTCTTGCTTTATCCAGAAGTTAGTGTTCTGGAAAATCTATTAAAGACCATCGACACCCTGAGTAAATAGGCATATAGGCCTATGAAAAATACTGAGGTATCCTCTTACGGTCACTCAGTAGCCTTACTTGGTGGTGGTAGTACATTCGACTAATTCAGGGAATATAAATTGATAGACAGGCAGACGACATGATATAATAAAATTTATTGCAGTGACTTTACATAGTTTACGTGTTTAACAACTATTTTGGCACTTTTATTTACACATTAAGATATATAAGTTTACGTGTTTAACTACTATACTTTGTCACTTTTCTTAACACAATAAAAGACGATGTACAATTATTGACGGTTGACACAAATCTCTTAAAATATAATAAAATAAAACGGATATAAAAAAACACCGTGTTAATTTAAATTCTGTACAATTTCTAATCGACTCCTTCTACTATGTTTGTGACCCGTGCTCAATAAAAGTCATCGCTACCCTGAAACCCAGTGGAATATTTTATTTTATTTTTATTCGACTTTTCACTGGAATCAATACAAAAAATATACAGTATATGTAATTAGAAAAAAAATTCAGTGGGAGAGCGTATCAACAGGTGCAACCACCTCTAACACGACACGTTCTCCAAATACACAAAACCCAACGGCAAATACATAAATCTACAGGTCGAAAGAAAAAAAATAACACAGTTCTACAGGACAAAAACATTTTGTGACCCATGTGCATGTGCTGACTGGGTCAAACTCACTGACAAACAGAAGCTCATAGTATGTGCGTAAGGCTCGCTTAAAACCATATATTGTGGAGGTGGAACATGTGGGGTGAGGGAGAATCTTCTGCAAGTTTCAGTTTTGCAATGTTTGTCAACGAGTTTGAGACGGTCAAAAGTACGAAGAGAACGTGAAGAAGCGAGAAATTCATTAAAAACGAAAAAAATATTAAAAATCCAATTCATAATAACCAAAGAAACATTTTAAAAAATACAAAAGATCAAGTTGTTCCCTTTGAAGGAAGAGAGGAAGTAAATTAAGATACGCTTAATAAGACCGAATTTTCGATTACATTTCTTAACCACCCTGCTGATTGTCCCATTTAAGATCTGTCAAGATATCGACTCCAAGGACCATAATTACACTAGCCCTGCCAAGTGTCAGGCCATTCATGCAATAAGAAAACTTAACAGCTTTCTTAGATCTACAAATTGTAATGATCCGACACTTGGCAGGACTAAAGGAGAGATCCCAGACTTGACACCATCTGACCAAGGACTCAATATCATTTTGGAGTCGTCGGCAAATAAGGTCAACGTGGAAGTTGGACAGTGCTGAGCATATCGTTGATGAAAAGGAGAAAGAGCAGAGGACCGAGTATTGAGCCTTGTGGCACACACTAGGTGACAGGTAACCAGTCAGAGTGTGCCCCTTCGACAACAACTCGTTTTTTATCTGAAATATAAGCAGTAAACCAATTGTGGAGTTTAGAATGAATACCATATGATTTGATTTTGTGCAGAAGGAAGTTTAAGAAACACTGTCAAAAGATTTTGTGAAATCTAGGTAGATAATGTCGACTTGGCCAGCACTGTCCAAAACCGCGTTAACCTTTTCAAAAACATTAAGTAACTGTGTAGTAGGCGAACGGCAGGTGATGTATATGCAGGCCCGTAGCCAGGGGGGGTTTTATGGTTCGGGCGAACCCCCCTTTTCTAGCGAACCCCCCTGTTTTCTAGCGAACCCCCTCGAATTTTTGAATGAGTCCCACTCAGACAGAATGTCTGTTTTTAACTTAGGCCCTACCCAGCATTAAAAATCAAAATTTAGCACCTAATTCATTATATGGTCATCCGTTTTTAAATTGTAGCAATTGATACAAGCCTACATTCATAGAATATCTCAGCTTTGGAAGTTCGGAGATTTAAATTAAACGCAACTCCAGCAAACCATCACTTTACGATGGCTCACATAAGGATGGCAAACATCGATAAAAACGCGGCTGCCGTCTCAACTTTCACTGGCCTTTGGCTGAATGTTTGTAAGAAATGTACCGACCGGTAACGAAACCGGTCGCCGTCTACCTAGGATAAATGGTGCCACCAAACGAAGCTAAAGTTTTGCGACTTAATCAACTAACAATGCAGATAAAGTTTTGCGACTTAATCACCTGATTGTGGATTGTGTGGTTAGTAAATTCCATAACCACACTGTCCATAGCGCACACTAAACTATGTGCTGATGGAGCATTTTTGAGAAATTGAATCTCCTTTTTTCCATCCCAATAAAAAATATTATTAATAAATCAACATGGTCCATCTAAGTCATCATAGCCAGTCACAAAATTAGGCTAGGATTAGGAAGTTTGTTTTCAACAGCAGACACATACAACAGAACGGAGTGCGTCAATCGTTAATTTTTAGTGATAAAGAATCAGAACGTAGAATAACTGACTTTATTCGTCGGCTGTTGCAAAGAAGAAAACGACAGATAGTTTATTTTTAAAAAACAAATAAAAAAAAAACAAGATTAATATTGTATAAATTGTATTTTTAAAGATTCATATACGATTCATATTTCATTTGGTAGACAATAAATATTCAGTAAGATATACTAAAAACGATTATTAATTTTTAAATGTGCATCAAATCTCAGCTATTATTAATCAGTATGTACTATGTTAAAATAATAATTTCTAATAGGCCTAGTACTGTAAATAACAAATAATTGTAATTAAAGTTTAGGTTCCCATGATGTTAGATGACGCATTGAATATGATGCTATATTTTTGGCTCTGACTTCATTTAACGATGGCACTGGCCCTGTCAGTAGTAAGGACAATATTTGTAGATTTGTAGAATATATGTAGTAAAATAGTAGGTTTACTATTATTTTCAGTGTACAAAGTGAGAGTAAAGAAGAGTAGTAGAATAAGAAGTATAGGAAGAGGAAGAGGAGGAAGAAGAATAGCCTTTTTGTTTTATAATATTAAATATGTTCAGTATATTCAAATCGATTATGCGATGAGGGTTTTTTTTTTTTTTTTCTTTTTTCGGTGTGATTTAAACATGCCAATTCTAAGAAAATATTTTCTAATTATATTATATTACCACCTTTTTATTACATAGATCTTTTTCAAAACATAACTGCTTTTATAACATTATGTAGACCCATTAAACAAAAACAAAAAAAAAACTGCTCCAGCTTCGGGGGCTTCGCCCCCGACCCTACCATGGCCCTTAGGCAGGCCCCCGGATCCCACGACCAGAGAACCACCCCCCTTGAAATGACCTGGCTACGGGCCTGATATGGCGCTTTAAACTTGGGAAAATAGAATTATAAATTAATCTCTCAAGGATCTTGCTGGACACACACAAAAGCGGTATGGGCCGATAGCATTCTACCTGGTGCTTGTCGCCTTGTTTGAAAATAGAGTAGCCCTCCCAGAGGCATCAGTAGCAGATTCATTTTAAAATACATCGTTTTGGGTATAGATCTAGACTTAGCTACTCTTACACTATCAAGACCTATACTGCGATCGGTACACGACCGACATCGTCCTGGCCAGGTCGTGATAGTGTGATAGCAGCTAAGAACAACTTGCTCGTGACAAGACAGAGGTCGTGCATGGTCGCGGAGTTTTCAACATGTTGAAAAATTTATTGTAGTCTGTTACCGTACTGGTCGTCAGTCTAATCGTAGTCGCACTCACACGTGTCGTAATCATTTGGCTAAAATGGCCATTATTACTTTCCACCAATAAATGACAAGAGGGCAGGTCCTACTTCCAGTCGGATACAACCGCAGGTCGGTACGGTCGCAGTGCTAAGTCGCGATAGTGTGAGAGTTGCTTAAGTTTTTGTTTTGATAAACGACCAGAACCTTTTTTGGTTGTCAGAATTTTGCCCAATGTAAGGGTTTATTGGAATTCTTGGCTTTTTCCAGGCAGTCTTCTTTTTGTCTTGATAATGTCTGACCTCGCCATCAATCCAAGAAGGTGAATTTTTATCTTTAACAGTAATTTTCTTGATGTTGTCATCGAGGGTCTTAAAAATAATTTGAACAAATCTGTTCCAAGCCATTTACTTCAGTGGCCTTTAATACCTTAGTAAAACGATTTTTCGAATTAAAAATTGTTCAAATACTGTACTGTAACATCAAAAATGGCAGTTTTAAAATTAAACACTTTACCAAATGTGAATATTTAGTCTAAGTAGTATCTTCGTTTTAATTATAAAATTTAAGAGGCGATGGTCAGTATGATAAAAAATGATCAGCTTCAATGACATTGGACATTCTGGAGGTGTCAGATGTGAATACTAAATCAAGAATGTTATTGCAATTTTTACGAGATGGTAACTTACCGGTATTCATCTGTGCCAAAAAAATGTTAAGAGTTGTGCTACAGAATTTGCCCTCGGAAATGAACGGATTAACATTATGATCAAAGACACCCTTTGGCACCAGGAATGTTAAAATCGCCCAGCAAAAATATTTGATCGTATATGTTTCTAATTTTATTGAGGGTTTTGTCAAGGGTGTTAGTGAATTCATCGATCACTCCTCAGGGATACCTGTAGCAGAGAACAAACGCCAACCTCTGACCATTAGTTGGACTTAATTCAATAATCATCAATCTCGTCGTTAGGTTTAAGATCATGGCGTCGAACAAAAGTAAGAGATGACTTTACAAAGCAAAGCACTCCTCCACCGTGCTTTTTTTGGCCCAAAACCACGGTTTTTTCTGTAAAGATCGTATCCGATACTAGGGATTTCACCGTCAACAACAGAGTCATTCAACCCCGTTTCGGTCATAAATATCCAATCGTGTTCTTGAGTAGACTGAATTGAAGATCAAGTAGTTTGTTGATTTTCTTTGAAACAGTCTTACTGCTTCTAGCGTAGATGTATAGGCAATTTAGTGAGTTATTAATTGCGAAACTATTCTTTGGATTGACTGGGTAGTACAGGGTCTGATAATGAATTGTCAGACAGGTAGGTCCTACATGTGTTCTGGAGGATCGTTTTGAAAGTTGTAATGGCTATTCTGAGATGGTTGGTTGGGGCTGAGGTAAGAAAATTTATGATTAGGGCACCTCTATATGGCCGGAAATTACACTCTTAGACTTAAATTTGGATAGGGGGAGGCGGGGCCCTTGAATCCACCACTGCTCAAAACATTCTTTATCCAAAATATTCATAAACACGAAAAATGAACATGTAAAATCAGATCACATACTAAAAACAAATTTATGCATTCTCGCCTCATCAGCAGTCACTAAGACATACTCTATATCAGGTGTCGACTCGATTGAGTGTAATGTCATACCAGGAAGGGCGCAATCTGTTTTGAAAGGTGGAGGTGGGAAGGGGACATTTCGTGAGTCGACACCAACCTCAGACCCGCCATCGTTGGGGCTGAAGTGCGAAATCTGAGGAAATAGTACCCCTAGATGGCCGGAAATGACACTTTTATATAGTAAATTCATCATTA